AGCATTTGATTAACCGCAACAAGTAAGCTAACTACTAAGACGCGGTGGAGGTACAGGGCCTCAGGATCCTCTTTCCCTCTTGTTCCAGTCCCTCCGTTCTTCCTTCTGAGTTCCCCGGGTGTTTTGGCGTGTAGTGTGGAGTAGAGTAACGGACATGTATGGTATTTTGTGCCCTCGTGGTGGGCTAATTGGTTCGTTTGATCGCGACAGCTTGGCCTGGAAATCCATCTGAACAACGTCTGAACGAATCTCTACAGCCAATCCAAATCCCGAACGGTTGCAGTCACGTTTGACTCTCTTGCCTGAGCAATAGTTGACCGACGACGATTGCTAGCAGACGGGTTCTATGAGAGATGCTGCTCCCGGGCATTGGTGAATTGTTTTTCTCATCAATATATCTCAGCTTTTCATGTCTGTATGCTTAGGGAAATAATGGATATACGCTCATTCAGTACCGAGTCCACATGTAAGATTGACTCTATTTCGCCAGTCGACTTGACGGTTCAAACGTTGGTCCGCCTGGCTATTCTGGTTCCGCCGACGTACGAGGGTTATTTTGCTGCTAAAATGCGATGTAAAAGCATGCTGCTTCTTAGCATATCTGGTTCTTGTGGGCTTCTATGCCCTTTTGAAGGTCGGCTACATGGAAGAATGATTCATTTTCCTTTAGGTGGTACTTGATAGGTACTTGGGAGCCAATCCGTTACGATCGCGATCGATCCTTTCCGCGTGTGCTCTTTTCTGCCAAATTCTAGGGCTTGTCATTCCATCTAATATCGGCCACCTGAAATCGCGGTCCACGAATATGCTTTCAAGCCGTGGTGTACCCCCGACATCAAGAGACATAGCTGTATGTTCATCTCTGGCTAGTACGTTTTGGACTGCCCTAATGTCCGTACTAGTATCGAAGGAGACTGTTGTCTCCATGGCGCCTGTTTTCAGGTCGTCTTTTTCCTTGCCTGCATCTACCCGTTACATTTTCTGCTTTTCGCGGGAACGGGGCAAAGAGGTGGACTGGCGTTTGTGTAAGCATAGAACCACCTATCCACCGGAATTTAGCATACCTTGATTCCGAGTGGTGCAGTCGGGCGAGTCTCAAGCTTCTATCTCCGATGTGCTAACGACTGAGAAATTCTAAAAATGGCTGTTGACGTTTTCTTTGCCAGAACTTCTAGCCCTTCGAGGATCACGCGCACTAGCTCGGAGTGATACTCGTAAATTTTTATTATCTGTTTCCTCAATATCTAAACCGCCACGCCTCGCCATTTCTCGGAAACCGTGAGCGTCGCGCAGCCCTTCCTTTCTTCTCTTGCTAATCTGTAGTTTAGACCTGATCTCGGATGGGTTACGACGCCTATGGGCTAGCAGCAGCGGACCGAATTTGGTCTTGCTCCCATTGTACTTGAGACGACCTCTCTTGGGGTACGTTCGTTCACCTTTGAAGTGCTTATCAATCTTAATTTTGTCGCATCTGACTTATTATTCACGAACGATTTTTCCAATGCAAATAGGATTACTTTAATAGCGCTCGTTTGACTCTTTGCGTAGCCCCTCTTCACCCTTGCATCACAATGACGCCAACTAGGTCTTTGCGTCATGGGTTAGCCATGACACATAGCCCTAGTTAGCGTTCTTGAGATGTATTCGATACGAGAGTTATATGAATAAATCTGTTTATTAGAAAGTTATATGCTGGGAGCCCGTATATCAATGACAACGATAAAAAGTAAGTACTTAGCAAGGATAGGGAGAGCATTTTTGATAGCATGAGCATAGGGATACAATGACAGCAATACAGCGGGGACATAACAAAGAGGAAAAGGGAGGTACAGAAAATGTTCGTGCAAGAAAAAATGGACGGAACGATAGCGAGACGGATAGCAATGAAAATAAGAGAGAAAGCAAGACAGTAGCAGTGTCAAGATGAGAGAGAATTCTAAAATCGTTCGTGCAGGATTTTTATATTTACCAGAAACTACTCACGAGTATCCTCTCAAGGAGCAGGCAATACCCGAGAGTCAAGGCGCATGGAGATGACGTTGCCTCCGACGAAGCGGAAACGGCTATAGTTGGTATCCATGATCGGTTCGGGCACCGTTAGAGAGCCAACCCATTGCAAGGGAGGTGGGCTTATGGTCGCATTGCGGGTGGGAGGGGTGGATTGACTGGCACTGGGTGAAGTGGAAACGCTCCCACTGCCGGTCATCGAGGAGCTAACTGGTGAAGGAAGATGGCGGCGAGTCCGAGGCGGACGGAGCTCGACACCGCAGGCGTCACGGAGAAAGTCCCGTAGTTTAGGTACAGTATTCAAGTACCTCGCAATGTAAGGTCGAGTCGGCGCCACGTGCCAGTCGTGGCGACGGCGAGGCACGATCGGCTTGAGGCGGCGGTTTTCTGGGAGTGGCAACTTGGCGCGGATAATAATGGAGCAGGGAGGAGGGAGTAAAGGAGCGGGCGGGTGGCGGATGAGGGTGGAGAGGGGAGCCAGGGTGATCTTTGAGGTACTAGGTTGGGGGAGGGCTTGGGGGAATGGAACTGGCATGGCAGGTGGGGTGGGATTGTGGATGGTGTGGAGAACCGGCTGCAGGTCGCTGTGTTTCTCTATTTTGTGCCGGTTGAAGGCGGCTGGGTCAGCAGTAAGCACAAATGGCATGCAGTCTTGGCATATTAGGTGTTGGATGTCATGACTGTTGATATGTCAGCTGTAAGCACTTACAATGGATGAGGCTCAGACTCACTGGACAGCTCTTATGTGGGTGCGAAGATTGCTCAGTTGTAGATTTTTGAAGTCTGCATGGCAGCCGGTTCCCAGAGGACAATAGTGTAGTCTGGATGCAAGATTGTTAGGGTACAGTCAAGATATCAAGGACAGACAACTTACTCTTCCACAAGAGCATCTCCTGTGAGGTGGGTTTTTTCATGCCTGCGGCAGTCAAACCTTCGGCTGAAGGACCAGGGACAGCCCTTACCAATCTCACTGCTATAGAGAAAGCACTTGAATTGAAGAGGTGTCGAAGGGGGAGAACCGCGCTAGAGGAAAGGGTAAATAAGTAGCATGAACCAAAAGAAAGGGTAGGGATAAACGAACGGCCATAAAGAACGACTGTCAAACTGAAGGGGGACTTTCTCGTGACGGTTCAAGTTGAAGAAAGACTTTAAAAGATGGCAAGCCAAGTACGACATCCCCCCCGATTCGGCCTGGTCCTGCGCTGAATCTTGATCGTCTACCATCTATGCGGGAGGCGCCGATCCTTTCAAGATTGTCGCCGTCTAAAGACAATTTAGGGACAAGGTCTCCAAGACTGTTACTGTGAAGCGAGGTTTGTGAAGCGAGGTTTGTTCGGGTGGAAGACAGGGATAAACGTTGTACCCTGGTTTTTGTTTATTTCCTTATGGCGATGCAAGTGCCTTCCGTTTTCTTCCCCCTCATACGTAGTCCTTACTCCTTCTCTTAAGCGCCGTGAAGGTATATATAAGTTAAGTTATACCTATAATAATACTAGTATATAGGACATGAACGGGGGAAACCTGGCTGACGTCGCCAGAGCAGTGATCAGATTGGGCCGCAAGGTAGTTGTGAGCCGTGGGCACGCATCAAGATCGGGACCACCATCATTGATAAGGTTTGAGCGCATCAGGGACGGGACCCCGGAACTAAAGAAAGTGGTGGCCGCTCGAGCAAGCTAGCTAACATCGAGACAGGTTTATAGAGCTGAGAACATGCAAGGTCAGTGTACCATGCCAGTTCATTTCCTCTGTACCTTTTAGACGCAATCTAATAATTAACCGGTGCCCAGTTATCCGAATCTAAAATACCGTCATTGACCATGATGTGAGGTTGTGAAAGATCAAAATAATTCAGGACGGGAGCAAATCTCGGGCCCAAGACCAAGGTCAAGATAAAGTATGAGATCCCGTAGTTTGGTTCCTAGCACCTCTGGCCATCTACGCCCGAGACAATGGAAAAACCGAGAGCAGGTCCTCGCAGGGTCGTCACGGTGGAAGTTGATCCGGACGCTCGGCTACATGTACCTTGCTGAGACCTAGGTCAGTATTTTGGGATATTTAACAAAAATGAACGGGTTTCAAAGAATGGTTTTGCAGGACCCTGTAGCTTTCAAGGAGTTTTGAGGTGGCTCCGTAGTACAACCAGTTTTCGATTGGTTTTCGACGTGTAAAGTTCGCGAATCGCGGACGCGTCCCGGTCCGGTGTAAATCGGATGTTTTCTCACGCGACCTGAAAATTTACCAGTCCCTCTCATTTTCTCGCTTGCGACGTCTAGTGGTGAGAGAGAAGGAACGAGTCTACTCTCCAACGTCTTTTCACTTGTCTCGTGAGGTAAAGTTCTCCGCCATCCATTTATCTTTAATCCCGGCCTCTTCTGCTGAAATTAACTGGCTAATTTATCAAATATTTTAGATGTCTACCATGCCTTGTTCATTTTGTGGCACCTTGCCAGGTCTTCCAGCGATTCCTTCGGTGACGCAGCAATTTCGTTCACCCCGCTTGAAGAGGTTGTTAAGCCAAAATGAGCCTCCCTTGGAGACGGAGAGATCCACTCTACGCGAGACCATCACGACCGGCACGGCTGCAGTTTCTCTGCTCGATGACAGGATACTGAAGGCACAGAGACTCTTGGACACCTTTATTAATAAAAGAGAACAGGTGAAGTTGTGCATCGACGACGCCCGATCTCTTTTGCATCCTATTCGCTCCATTAACGATGATCTCCTTCGAGAGATCTTCTTGTGGTGTGTCTACGACTGGGTGGATGTCATGTACCATTGTCATGGTAACTGTGACTCCTTGTGTCCTCTTGAACCCCCATGGACATTATCCCATGTCAGTCATCGGTGGCGCACCATCTCTCTCTCATCGCCGTGCTTGTGGACCTCGGTCATTTTGAACTTCTCCATTTATTCTGAGCTCATGATTCCATACCGATATATCATGTTCAAGTTCGGATTACAGCTTGAACGCTCTCGAGGTTGTGACCTTTCTGTTTTCCTTTCGAGTGGCCGTGACGGGATCACAGCCCATCCGATCTTGGCCATGCTGGACGCCAGCTCGTCCAGATGGAAGTAAAGTCCCTCTCTGGGAATCTTTTCTCGAGACTGGACACTCTCATTGTCCGTATCGAGGCCCGACGAATGTCGCCGGCACGGAACATGAAGATTGATACCTTCCAATCCGCCTCTCAGCTCCGATGTTTTCAAACCATCAACGATGCGGATCCCTCACGTATCTTACTCCTTCCTTGGTCGAACTTGACCAGGTACAAATGCTCCGATGCCTTGAGCCCCAACAACATCGCTATCCTTCCACAGCTGACTTCTGTCAAAACGTTGATATTCTATTTCAAAAGCGACCCAAAAACCCCGACAGGTGGCGCGCCGATAGTCATGTCGTCGGTAATAAAGCTTAACGTGTACGAGTTATCAAAGTTACCGGAGGATGCCATTTCCCGTCTCTTCGATTCAGTCACATTCCCTTCAGCTACATACGTCAACATCAATTTCAAAATGGACCATGATCGCATCCCTCGTTTTCCCATGCTTGCGGTGTGTGGCAAACTGGAAACCCTTCGGCTCAGGTTGAACGTATCCTCTGATCAGAATGTCAGAGCGCTTCTTGAGTGCCTCAAAGCCGTCGACAGCGTTGCACACCTCCAGCTATGTATAAAGGTCGTTCCGGATGCTCTGTTAAACGGTTTCGTCATCTCGCCTCAATCACACCATATCCTCCCGAACCTCCAAACTCTCACTTTACACCTCTTAGCCTCTACTGGAGTTGCTGACTTTACTCCAGCCGTCTTGTTCCGTATGTTGCGATCACGCTACATGAAGGAACATGGGGATATTCTACCTACGATCGGAAAGGGTTTGCTGAAAGGACTCCGGCTTAAATCATGGCGCAAGCTCATTTTCGACAATTTGGAGAACCAGAGGAGCTGGAAAGAGATATGCGAGGGGATAAGAGTGGTTTATGATTAATTTAAAAACATGGAAAGCGTACTACGTGCCGCGGCCTGAACCACGTCGAAATATTGGACTCGGTAGCCATGTCCTTCGACGGTGGAAGTGGGTCAACCTTGTCACGCTCGTTAAAAAGGGCTCTGCTCGCATGGTGGAAGAGGCGGTGTCGACGCGGTAATCAAATGACTCCCACGCCTCTTTCGCGAGGCTTGCCAATGAGTATTTGATGGCTGTAATGGTCAGTATCTGCGAGATGAGCATGAATACTACGTCTTGTACCGGACGAATGTCGGTGTCGTTGAGAATGATGGGCCCCTGCATCCAGACGTCCTGAAGAGTCGGGAACGCTTGTGGGAATTCGAGGAGTGTGATAAGCATTCTAGCTGAAGCGCTGATATTCGTCATGTAAGGGAATAACCGATTCCGTTTCGCAGCATGGTCTCGTTAGTAGGTGGTGTGCCACCGAGTTTTCTCCGACCAAATGAAGGCTTTGCAACGTCGGGCGATGAGAAAGAAATGCAGTTATGGCAGGGACTGAGGTGTTGGGACGTGACATAGTAAATTGGTGAGGTGAGGAAGAATGTCCGTGCTGCAATTGAACATTATGAGCGTGATGGTGTGTCAAGTCGTCGGTGCCGTGGCTTTCCAAAAGTAACAAGGGAAGAGGCGGAGGCGGATGTCGTGAGGATGCGACATTTCAGCTTGGAGAGCGTTTCGCAAAAATCTTTGAATGATAGAAGGATATCAAATTTGCACTGCTGTACGCCTGGCAACGGAGCAAGAGAGACCGATATGAAGCGCTGGTCGTACGAGATTGTGGTAAAGTAGCGACCAACCTCTTCCATCTCGTATCGGAATGTCGTGGACGTGATATGGGGCTTTTTAATGAAGTAAAGCCGCAAGTGTCGCAGGGCACTAAGTGGGGTTCCGGTATCGCCAAACTGAACCTAGATTCCGAGGAGCTTCTTGCCAGTGGATGTGTGAAAGTGGTATGAGAACAGGACTTCGTTGAGTCGGCGGCAGAGACGTGTCACTGCAACTATATCGCCGTTGTTGATCTGATGAAAAATCATGATCGAAAGGTCATTCGGGAGATCGGGTAATGAAGCTGGTCGACGAGATCCTTCTGCACGGCCATTCAAATGAGCTGTGGCCGCTCGGTGTTCGCCATCGGGATCCAGAGACACTGGCATGTACTAAGTACAAGCTGATCAGCAAACAGGGGGAAATATAGTCATGATCTAGACCCACCAATCTCGAGAATTACGCCGTTCAAAATGCTACAAACACATGCCTAAGCCATGACGGCAAGACCCAGCCAAGATGCTGTTTCCTCTCCTCAAACAGTGAACAGAGATTCAGAACTGTTCAGTAGTCTGGCAAATCACCATCGATACTCGCGGAGTTCGTAATTGTACATACCTGTTCAGTGTTCTGGAGTAAATGACTACTGAGAATTCGAGAAAAGAAATCGTGCACATAGACGCGACGAAATTTTACAGTGGGCGTGGATATTCATATTGAGTGTAACATAGGATATCAATACTTGGGTTGAGATGAAGTTCAGTACAGTTTTGTTCTGCGATGCTGGTAGTTTATCTTGATGAAGGAAGAGTTCACAAACCTGTGTGAATGATTAGAATTACATGGGTTCTATACATTGGCACAGATTTGTTCATTCTGCATGATCTCCTGTCGTAACATCTACAGCATTACGACCCTGCCACAATGAAAGCCCTTTCTCAAAAACTTTATGGTTGACACCGTCCGGTACGAGGCAAAAGGTAACACCTAAAAAACCGCAGTCATCTCATCAGTATTGCACATATCTTCAAATTGCGTTGGAGGGCCAACCTAGTTGCTCTACTTCTTTGTTTCTATGCTCGTCGTCAAAGAAGAGCTAGAACAGATGCTCAGTCTATCAGCCGAAATGGTAACTGGATGACAATCATACCATTTCGGAGTAGGCTATGCCTGTCTTCTCGTGAAGTCGCTTAAAGTGCGTCAGTTTTGACCCTGCATCCAGATTCAGCATTTCCTGTTGTACAAAATGGGACACGGACGCACCGGGATATATCTCCGCCTGATCAAAGAAATGCGCGGCCTTGGTGGGATTACTATCCTTATCGCCATGCTTAGGCGGGACAAGAAGGAGCGAGAGGGCCTGTCTGGCTCTGAAAGAGGAAGTATAAGCCTCGTGGAGATGACGCAACTGCTAGGAAATTATCACAGGTTGGGGGCCGAGGTTCTCGATGCCGCCGCTATGATGACCTCTGCCTCCCGCAGTCGGTGAAGAATATGAGGGACATCCCGATAGAAAGATATAGGCGAATCGTGTCTATATCATGGTCAGAATAAGCGTATCATAGGGAACAAATAAGAGTCTTACCTGTCTAAAATTTCGTTCAAGGTGTTCTTATATCTATGCAGAGGCCCGGAAACGTGGGTATCTATCCACAGATCCCACAGGGTATAGCTGAATAATAATAATAAAACCTATGTCATCAGGAAACAGATAAATGATGTCGCACTCTAAATCGAAAGCTACGAGCTTTGGATATCTTGTGGTCATCCTGGAGATGGTGATGGTTTCGACTCAAGTGAGCTTCGGTCGGACCGGCCGAATCTACGCCAAGGACCCTGTCACATGATCCATTTAGGGCAGGTCGAGTCGCGCGACGTGTAAGGACTCTTTTTTTCCCACAGTGCCGTCGAGCCAAGCCTATCTTCCTTGACAATGTTCATATGAAAATCGCACAAAAAGTAGGACACGTTCAACGCCATCTTACAGCGAGGTGGAGGGTGTACTTGTGAGTGTATTCAGTTGCAAAGGATGATGCGAAAACGACGGGCCTATGCTGCAAGTTGAAGAGAGCCATCTCCTATTACAAACTTCAACTTCGAGTCAAAGTAAATTTTCCCGCCACGCTTCCACGAGTGACTGGTGGAGACAGGATGAGCATTCATTTTATCTTATCTTCTCAAGTACCTTGGCGATGAAGACATGAAAGCATAATAGAAAATGATGACAGCGCAAAATGTCGAGTTCACCTAGATACTACGAACGTTCGCAATGGTTGTCTCCATTCCCCGGAGAATCCGCTCAATCAAGGGCACATGGTCTCCATCGTATGCCTGAGGTGTGCAGTGAGACATGGATTACTCCTGGGACAGCGCATTGGCCTTGCATTGTTGATGCCATTATAGTAATCGGAACGCTGGGTAACCATACCCACTAAAACCCCGTTGTGATCTATCCAGTCTTGCGGCAACGACTTTTCATCCTTCAACGGTCCTTTCCAGGTGGTCAGCACCATCTTGCGTTTCGTCGCTTTCGACCCATATCTTGTAGGGCCGGCTGCTAGTCTATCCAGGGTGAGCGTCTGGTTCACGATGTCAAGCCAGGTGTTCCGGACTTGACTGGCTGTATGCCATTTCTGGGGGCCTGTCGTCTCCTGTGGCTATGCGTCGTTGACATAGGATCTTCCACTATGAGGTGTGTCACCTCCACCATTAGTATTCTATGGAGCCTTGTTGCCCCTTTGTCTATTACACCTTCAGCATCATAGATATTAATCACTGTCGCTCCTAAAGCTACTCCGAGAGTCGGCGTTATCTATGCACCGCCTCTCATCGGATAGCGGTGTTCTCGATTACGCAAGCTGACGAACCTCTTAAGCCACTTTTATCAGTGACGTTGTTTTCCTCGCCAAAGGTGCTTGCTGAGGGGCCTCGAGAGATGGAAGAAAGACAGTTTACGAGCACGAACCATGCACTATCGAAGGTGGATATAGAGCAGATTTAATATTCCGATCTTGCTCCGCTCATTTTCAGTAAAAGATCTGTATTGCCTGTAATTCTTTTGCTACAGAGTTGTAACGATGACAAACTGGAACACATACGTAAAAGGGTAGGTTTGTGTTTAAATGTTTCTGCCGAAGTCCGGCATAGAGGACAAAAACGTGGTTCGGATAATGAGTGCGTCGAGAATTTACCGGCAAACCGTCCTTGACCATTCACCACCCACCATGTCACCATCCCTGTTCTCTTTGCCTCCGGAGATCCTCACTCAGTGCATGGAATATCTGGACTACTGGTCTCTGCTACAATGCACGAAGGTACGTGCGCTTTTGGCACAGCCCGAGATGTCGCTCAAGTTGTAGTTTTCGGGCTCATAAGGTCTGTAGAGCATTCAAGAACGTTGTCAATGGCTCTCTTGCACTTCAATACAAGACTGAGCTCGCTATGGACAGCATGGAGGATGGAGAGAGCTCCCACCTTCTAAATGCCGAGCGGCTGGAACGCCTTCGTGAACTGCGGCGCGCCTGGGCGAATTTGGACTGGAAGGAGTTCACGAGCATTCCGTTTAGCGGAGAATGCAGCGCATACGAGCTCGTCGCCGGAGTATTTGTCAAGATGTTCTTGGGAAGGGATTTCTCCTCGACACGACTTCCTTCGTCGACGCGACCTACTGTGCATCAGGTGGTGTTTCCGGACCAAGACATGTTAGTGAAAGATTTCGCCATGGATCCAAGTCAAGACTTGCTCGCGATGCTTGTGGATGATGCGTCGTTCGTATAAATTTTTATTGCTTCCCTTCGCAGGATGTTGAACTATGGCCAGACCTCCTTCCTATACGACAAATCGCATTCTCACTATGCATTTACGGTCGCTTTCAACACTTAATGATCACCCTGAGGCGGAGGTACCGCGAATAAATATCTCTATACGTCCAGGAGAAATGTGGGCCAACCTTGTGGGCGTTTGTACCATCCAGGTGGCGCAAGACTCTCTAGCCCTCTTCATTCGCCAGCCTATCAAAGAGTCGCATTTGTACATCTGGAACTGGAAGACCGGAAAGCTTCTAATCGTGCGTGGTACCATCGTTGAAGCCGGCCAAAGCCCATTCTCATAATCCTTCTAGAATCACGATGATCACGGTGATCTGCCTAGAGGCGTGTACCATTTCGGATTCGTGACCTGGAATACCTACATTCTCACAACAACTTCATCTCCTGGTTATATCTATCTGGTGCAGATTTCAGAGGAATTGAAATATAGGACGATTGTCGTGCTTCAATTGCCAGAAATCGTGGACAATGTTCATATCGATGCGGCCATCACACATTCAGGAGCAATCACTGCGTCAGCAATAGACGGCGAACTGTTCATCGCTTCTCCAGAACGACGCATACATACGTTCACCGTAACGTACGCATTTCTGGATCCTGCTCGGGAGGCGGCGACATATACACTATTCGTCCCAAACGAAGCATTCTTGCAATATATCTCGGATTACGAAGATAGAAGTAAGAATCTTTTGTGCTATCTCTTATGGGAGAACTGGGGTCCCAGACATACGCGTATGTTGCCGAATGAGGGCACTTTCAATTGGATGCGGTGGGTCGCTTGTATCATCCTGACCTTTCTCGATAACTAAGTGATGTATACATAGATACGCCTACGGGGAGAAGGTTGTATGCCCCGCTATTCCGGGGAGGAACGTATTGCAGGTGCTAGATTTCAACGTCTATCCATCGCGTCCTCGTCCACCGACCACGTGTCCCTTTTCTCGAGGGCGTATTATCACCGGGCCGACTACGCTAGATCGGGCACACATCTTTAAGCAAAAAGTACAGACCTGTCTACCATTCTATTCTACTTCGCGGGAGATGGCAAAGGAGTATTCGGGGTTTATGATCGACGAGCAGAGGATCATTGCTTTGAAGGTACATGACTAGTCACTCTTGTTGGTCCTCAGAAAGCTGCTGATATGTGATATGCTCCTAGATGCTTGGAGATATCGATGATAGTACTGAACTTGAATCTGTTGATGTGTACTCTTTCTAATGCGGGGCCAGAATCTGGCCCCTCGCCTTGTATTTTCTCGTATTCTGCAGGAAACTCATTTGGACACAGGACTTCTATAAAAGCTGTCATCTGTTAAAGAATAGAGACAATCTTTTAATTGGGACTCCTTCCTGCGCAAAAATCTACATACTAACTTTCGATGTGCACATAACTGTACGAACGTTCTTGATTATCATCAAACAAGCCCAAGAGTGCAGATGTAATTTTCGAGCAGGGCGAAAATTATCGAATTTTATGTGCATGCAGAGAGACAGTTGCAGTCTTATTGTTCTGGTATGATTATCCTCGTTTTGACCCGTAAACGTGCTCATTCCTTGCGCCCAGGTCATAATGTGAACTCAGAATATTAGCGCCTCTAGTAGGTTATTTGAAATAGCACGATGCCGAGATGCCGCGGCCCGATACTGGGCCCACTACACTATAAGACAGGTTGGGCTGGCCAATTTTTTCCCTTTGATCTCTCTCCTGTCTCATATTCCCCTTCTCGATGAGCGACATCGGCTTTGACAAAGACTGACACCCAGGATCGCAGACTGCCATAGCACTGACCGTTACTCAAACGCAGAAGCGCGCCATGACATTGATCGTAGCAACGAACGTTTCTTTGGCCGGACAAGATCTCGCAGAGGCAGGAAATCCTTTAGATCCTTGCCTGGCCCTCTGATATGTTTCGCTGGTCTGTGGTATTGATTACCCTCTAGTGATCCCGACGGGTGTCCTCCCTCCGAGAACGTCAGGCATTTGTTTCCGGGATTTGAACTTGGCAAGTCGACGTCATCAGAAGACTGGGGAATTCCTGATGATCGCTGGTGAGTAAGGGTAGGAGGATCGACCATTCCTCGGGTCCACTCGGGACTTGGAAGGGCCCGGATTCTCCGAGCTGCTCATTCTTCTGGTTTCTGGACCGGCAGGGAAGGTATGTCAATAGCCGATTTATCGTTGGCGAAGTAGTTACACCTCAGAATGCCTCATTAACTAAATGTACGGCCTTTTCACTTCTTGGCTTGATCACGCAGTTGAATGGCAACGTATCACTAGAAAAGGGGTATCAAGACCATTATTCAACGGTAAACTAGAACGCACTATCATACCTGAGAACGCCTGACACTTGGCCCGGAACAGGCTCTTGAATGACACCATTCTCGTCGCGAGCTTTTGTAATGTTGAACGCTGCGAGCGACCTCGCCACTGTCAAGAAGATAGATGCCTCTGCGAGATGTTGACCTGGACAGATCCGACGACCAAAACCGAAGGTCACCTCGCGAGGGTCCAGTTGGGGCGACGGACCCAAGAAACGAGTGGGATCGAAGACGTCGGGGTGAGGATAGAATTCTGGGTCGCGAGACATTTGCCTGGCAGGAATAATGGAGTTGAGAAGCAGTGTGCCTAAAAAAAGGGAATACGCGAGACTCGCCATATGTTGTAGATGACTATCGATCCCTTCGGAATGAAGTAACCGTTGTATGTATCGTCTTCCATCGTCCGGTGAGGGAAACCTGACGCTCTTAAGTTGGTGACTGGAACCAAAGTATGCCATACGCACCAGTCGGTATGGGGGAATGCCACCTGAAAACTTCTTGTAGCGCGGCGAGAGTGTAAGGAAGCCGCCCTTCGTCCCGGTCGGCAAGAGTAGGAAGCCTTTCACCGCCAGTAACCGAGTCGATTTCTGCCTGAACGCGATGCTGTATTTCAGGGAACATCGTCATGGCTTTGAAGAAGGTCTTGATAGAAATGACGGTCTGGCTCTGGCGTCAGTTCAGTTCATAAGATGAGACGGAGCACAGTACCGTGTCAAATCCAGCTATAGATCTTTAAGGTCAGTTTTAATGTGTCGAAATCCAAACGGGAAAGGGTAACTCGCCTCCGTACATTGTCGATGCAGTCCATTTGATCGCAAACTCGTCTTCGCCATCTTCAAGATTTGAAGATACGTAGGAATATTCTGCAGTACCCTTGGCCTAGTGCAAATTATGCATTATAAGTCATGGGAGATAGAAGATAAGAAGAGATACGCCACCATCTGATCCTTCACCCAATTGAAAGGCTGAAGCGTCATCTCTTGGACATTCGCGTTCCATCGCTTAGCGAGTCGCTTGAATCCCGCGCCTGGAATCCAATCAGGTAGGTGCCGAACTGCCCGCACAAGTTCTGATTGTCATTAAAAAAATAAGAAGCGGAACGATGCACATACGAGCTGGAAGTTTGTTCACGAGGAACTTGGGAGAAGCCATTTGTAGAAACTCGGCGGTTATCTGTCGGCACTTAGCGACTAAAGGGTCGTTTTTGCTGATGGTGTATCCATATGCGATCCGGAGCACGATTGATGCCACATCACTGCCAACCAGCCGGATGCCGATAAGCGAGAGTGTGAAGTCCTACTGAATGGAGTACGTTACTCGTGAACGTGATCAACCCAATGATCCGGATCTCGCAGGACGTCCTTTAAGAATTTGCGTGTTTGTTCATCCTCTATGTAGTAAAATCGCTGAAGGTTTTCCATTGTACCCAGGAGCTTGTGGAATAGCTTGCGCTGTGCACGGAAGGCAGATCCGTACCCCAGAACGAGAACTATATCGCCCCATCCAGAGAGGATATGCATTGACATCGGAGGCCTATCCGAATATCTCGCTGTTAATGGCATTTAGTGTTAGTATAAGTAGTCGAAGGAATCAATGGGCGTACCAGAACGATTGTTGAGTAGTTCCTTGGCAACATTATATGAATTCAAGACAATGATTGTCTGCCCTAGCACAGTCGCCGAAGATATTCCTCCTGTGACGTAGGTGAACTTGACAATTCTGTCAGACTGTTCGCGAGTCAATGAGACCTACCATATCTTTTCCCCCACTCTGCCCACGTTACCCATTCTCGTTCTGTGGGCATATCAAGCAAATTACCAATGATAGGCAGTCGCCTTGGGCCCGGAGGAATTGGACCCGAGCGTGTCCCGCGTAGGAGAGAGATGAAAACCCATGCAAAGGCCCCCAAAGCAAGAAAATTGGCCACAGACAACAGAGCCATTGGGAAGGATGGAGCGCTAGATCAAGCCACAGAGAGGTAGACTTTATCAGACCTGAGGTAACAAGGATCTTATTGACGGCAAGTACAAAAAGAGGGTTAGGAATCTTCCACTCGGACCCTAATTGCCGGGCCATGTGCAGCCAAACATCATCAGAAATCAGAGAAGATGACGGTCCAATATAATGATGTTGGTCGGTTTCGGCAGGTGCTGGTACCCTGCAATCTGAGACGCATGATACCGATTATACCGCAGGAAAGGAACACTAGGCCTAAATGTTCAGGACCGCAACATTCATATGCCTGCATCTTCAGACCGGATTCCGGAACTGGTGACTGGACGAAATGAAGAACCAATTATAAGCGAGTTACCCCATCCGGATATCGCCTCCGTTGCTGTGGTCAGCTGACACAAAACGACTCTATTTCACCAACACCGACCAAGATACCAACGCCATCACTGGCCAGCCACCAGCGCCATTACCTCACTGTTTGTCTTTTGCTTGTATTATCTGTGGAACACATGAGGTATGGATGCTGTTTTTTAACGTACTACATTGCATAATCACATGCGCAGGTGCTTCTTATTTGATGGACCTTGGCTCGTAGTGCCCGACAACGATGATGGCCGAATTGCCCTTCATATATTTACTCCACCGCTGGGAATATTTATAATGAAGAATATATCTTCGCTTGTACAGTGCTACCGATGATGTGTTGCTAAGAGTCCGCCAATTCGGAGAGAGATTCTATATATCTTCAGAGCGCGCCTTCACGCCTAGACGTTTCTGTCTAGTATTTCCTCCAGACATGAGCGTCATCAGCGATCCATTCGGCATGATTCTTGTCTGTAAGTTGCGCTTATCATTGTTAGTGGTGCCTAGCTGATATCATCGTTACCTCTAGGCGTATTTTTAAGCATCTTGCTTCTAGGCGTCATGATGGTCCAGCTGTTTCTATACATCGACCGCTACCCGACGTCGGTGTCTATGTGTTTTGTGCGACGTGTCCTCACAGCACTATAGGGATCCTCCTTATCTCAAAATCTTCGTCGTATCCCTCTTTGCTCTGGATGTCATCAATTCGGTCTTCGTAATGGTCTGGTATGCTCAGTTCTAAAATCTGTATTTTTCCCGGCATTTATTAGTACATCAGGACATATAATATGTTGATAGACAACTTTATGAACCCGGCGGCATTCGGTGGAGGTAATGTACTATCTCCCTTTGATAGTTACTGGGCTTACCGTCCGCCAGCCGATTGGATTGTCTGCACCGATCCGGTGCTCTCAGGCCTCATGGCGTCCATGGTTCAAGGTTTCTTCTCCTGGAGGGTCTGGGTATTGACGAGGTATGGCTTCTGCTTTGCCCCTTGGGGCGCGACTCAGTGACTATTTCATCAAGAAATCCATTTTATTTCGGGTTTGTCGTTCTATGTGCCATAGCTTCAACAGCTGGTGGAATAGGGACAGGAATATATGCGGCCATCATTATGGATTTCAGCAAATTTCGGAAGATCAAGGCGGTCGCACTCATCTGGCTGATATCCGGCGCATTAGGAGATTTGGCTATTACTCTGATCATCACAAGTTATTTGCGCAAAGCTAGGGGAACATTCCCTAGGACAGACCGCCTTCTGAGAAAGCTTATAAGGCGTGAGTTGCAATAACGTTTTCTCCGAATGTGATACTAATCACTTCGGGCGCTAGTAACAATGCAAAATGGTGAGTTGTGCTCGGGTTCCTGATAATAAATTGTCTCACTTCCTTGAAAGGTCTCTTGACATCCTTACTCGCCGTTGTCGATTTTAGTCTGTACCTCGCTTCGGTGGGCCTTATCTTTTATGTCGTCGTCATATGCTCATGTTCTCTGTGTAGAACAAGCCTTACTATTTTGGTGAGCAAGTTTTTTGTGTATCATACGCCCCATTTATGATCTCGCTAGGAATTGCGTTCCTCATACCGAAACTGTATACTAATTCCGGTGCATTGTCATTGTCTTCATTCCATCATGCCCGAAACTTACTCTCACCGCCAGCTCTTTCAAGTCTGAATGCAGTTTGTGATACATCCGTGTTTTGTCTGTCGCTTTTTCTCAGGAACTTTCTAGCGCGCTGTAAAGTACTCGACTACTGACGACTCGGAGCGATCCTCACATCAGCGAATGACGACGGAGCCTAGGTTTTGGAATGGCGCGGCCCATACCGGGGTGAGTGTAATAACTTCAATTGGATAAGGTCGTCTTTGAAACATTCGGTAGATCGAGACCGGCGCGCGCCCTGCAGAAGTGAGTGATTTGATACTAATTGGATGGTTTTCATTTCTCGGTATCAGGGCTTAGTTATCTTTATCCAGGTTGTCGTCAACGTCGAAACGGAATCACACGAGATGTCCGACGTGGATGTGTTGCGGAAAGACAAAGATTTGGCACCATATTAGGGATTTAAGATCTTGACTAACATGGTTGGGGCAATGCAGTACGATGATTCAATGAATATCGCACGACATTGGCATGCGGTGATACCCCATAATCTGTATGATCCTGAGAAACTGGGAAAGGTGTAATGCTTCTTTAATGTTAATTGTAACATTCAGAAGATAGGAAGACACAGGTGGATGTTGAATGGTGCTCTCTTATAAGTACTCAGGACATGCTCACTGTCAACTTGATGTACAGGTACCGGTTGTTTCGGCCCGGATCACCCAGGGTCAACATGGCTTTCCTTTCAACCATGACGGGGAACCTGATGCGGCGCCTCAAAATTCAACAATAACTCCCTTTTGTTGACAATTCAGGTATCTATACCCTTCAACCGTTTGATAACGCTATCACTTCGATTGGTGGGCTGTTCCAGGAAAGTCGCGACGTAATTCTTCTGGTGGATGTTGTGCGGCCCCCAGTTGCTATCATTATTGTCCCACGGACAATGCAACTTCATCAACAAAAGAAAACCGAGTGTTCTGACCTTGATCTAGGGGTAATGGCTTCGGTGTACTTATACTGCTACGTCTTCTCTGTTTTCCTACAGCGACATTGCCCCCAAGACTCGTGTCGCGTCGCACAATGGACGACACATATCTTGATAATCCCATTTTGTACCAGCTCAGCCAACCAGTACCGAGACCACCCCCATCTGCAGAAACACTTTGCAGGATCCAATCTCTGAAGGAGCGCCACACCGAGCTCTGTGCTTTAGAAGGCATCGGTATGCTCTTCAAAAAGTCTTCGCTTCTATGATATTAACCGCATTCGTTCGTAGTCAAACCATGGAGCGAGATGAACTCTAGAATTCAGCGCTGGGTGTCTCCATTCAGCAACCTCGTGGTCTCTCCTGACGACGGGTGCTACATCCCCGTGAGCGAAGCAATAGTACAACTGGAGTCTAAGCTTCCGGATGAATATTTCCCGGATTGGCCCGTCCACCGCGAGCGTGATGGGGTGCCAAGATCTACCCACACGTCGTTCTTCGAAAATTTCATGTCTGGTAGGCTGTCGAGCTCGTCGAGTTTATTGTTCCCCGATTGACGGCGCAGCAGGTGTTATCTCGATTGAGAAGAAGCTTCAGCGTGATAAACAATATGTGCTTGACAATATTCGTAGGCTTGAAGAAAAACTATGATCAATTCTACGTCTTGCTTGTAACGACTGTTGTGGATTCTTGCTGCTTTGATATCTTTTCGAAAATTCCAAAGTTCATGACACGTTCCATGTATTACTGATACAATCTCTCAGTCGCTACTGATTGGATGCCTGTCGGAGTTCAGCGCGCACGTGCTCTTCACGCCAACGCCGTAATCGTCTGCGGCAGCCGATAAGAGCTTCAGATTCATCCAGATAACGATTGGGGAGAGTTGAGATACGCATGCTCTGAGTCACATTTGCCCACTTACCATGACCTCGAAGAACAGAAAATAATATTCTGTGTCGGACTATTAAGGGCAATTTGGATGACTGGACAGTAGTAAATTGTGTGAGTCATGCAGGGTGGCGTAGTCCCTGCATGTTGAGGTTCTCGATCGAAGGTATCCCCATTGTGGCCTTCGATACATCGTTGACTCGTCAAATAGAAGCGGTAGCATTTCCAGCCTGCTATGGTCTCTCTGGCTCAGGTTTCCCCCCATCTGTCCGACTATCCTGCTATCGATTGCTATGGCGCATCGCAAAATGGCACCACCCGCGAAGTAGCACTACGGGTCATTCGGCTTCCTTTCAATCTTTACGCTAAGGACGGGTACGGCGTGCCCGTCGGCGAGGCTATCGCTACTCAGTTCGTCTCAGAAAACATCACTATACCAGTTCCGCATATCCTAGACGTTGTATCGTCCGGCCCCAAACACCCATACTTTCCAAACCTTAAGAGCAACCTCATTCTCTCGACAGGCATCCCCGGGACTGAGTTCGGTCTCAGTAGTGTAAAAGTCGATGACATGTCTGAGGAACAGGCGTCGGTGTTCGTAAGCAGTGTTCGTGGGTGGTTCGCCCAGCTCAGAGCGTTGCCTCCACCGGGCCATGCGATATCTGGTGTCAATGGTGCTTCCTTCCTTAGCTATCGGATCCGAGACGCAGAACTCGTCGGTCCCTTTGCGTCACAAGAAGAATTTCATGCTCAGTATTTTTGCACGCTATGGGAACCCCTCGAAGATCACGATCGTGCTGCGCTAGTCAAGCGCAATCGACGAAGTACAGGATATGCTTCACTCACGGCGACATTACGCCAACGAATATTCTCGTGGATAACCAGATACGCCCTATTGGGCTGGTTGATTGGGAATGTGCAGTATGAATGCCGGAATACCGGGAATATACGCGGGCCATATATATCCGGCAGAGGTACAAGTGATGATGGAACTTGTTCCGGCACATATTTCCAGATTATGACGACGATTTAGAAGTAGAGGCGGCGATTTGGAAGCACTACATGCCGTAACGATTCCGATTACTTTCATTTACGCTCAGATTTACACAATAATGGGTCCCAGAAAAAATGAGACAATACCGACACCCACGTCCCCTTATTTTAATGGCAATTCATTACCAAGCGGACATCCATATGCGGTGAGGGAAAACCAGTTTGGCCACGTAATTTATCCAGCTTTATGTATTCCCTTTGTCTGCGCAGTACACTCAGGTAAATCTTGGTTGTAATGTTCCTCAGCAATGGGCATAAGTACTAAGTAGGATATAGTATCAGCGAGTATTATATCCATAGTATATACAGCCCACCACAACACACAATCTTCCGAGCAGGCCAGTCCGTATATGCAAAACCTTTAATGAAGGCACTGAGTGTTATTCCAGGAATCATAACTAATAACACAACGCACGGGAATGCATAAAGCAGCACTATGGGATGATTTTGCTTGACATCACTCTTGCTGCTAGCAAATTTCAGACCGAAATAATGTTTGGAACATAACGATTTCTGGGTGTGTCACAGTATTCCGGACTCAATTGTATTCTCCGCAAATAGGCCAGACTACCAGCACGGCATTTGACAGAAACTCCTGGGGGGTCAAGCGATGGTTCATTGACAGGTTGGAGGCCAAAATTCTAAAGAGTTGCTTCATTTTGACGGCATCCAAGAAGTATACAAGACTGTAAGACTGCATGAATTAGCTGTCTCTGCTAGTAACACAGGTGTGCATGATGCTGATATCTCGGCTCATTTCGGACCGATGGATTAAAGTATTTTTGGAAAACATTGCCGCCGGCAATGTTTCTTTCATCTTTACCTTCGAACCCGAACCCCGTGAAGGCCGTTGCTTGAACGCGACCTATTCCCACCTTACCGCCCTCAGTGGGTTTACAAGCCTAGCCATTGCCTAAACACGACGCTTCATCATGTCCGCGACAGCTGCAGCTGCTTTGAAATAAAACGCGAGCCAATTGTTCAAAGAAGCAAGATTCGACGAGTGCCTATTATCTCTCTATGATTAACATGGCTTACCTTATCTCTCGTCTCAGGGCGGCGGAAAAATATCAGCAGGTATGGAGCAAACTTGTTACTTTCCCATTCTCAGTTGACTCGGAGAAAACGTACAGGCCGAAGAAATGAGCCCTCACGATGCTGTATTTCCCTCCGACCTAAGTGCTGCCTTGTATGAGCTCTGAGATTATCGTGGGATCTTTGAAGCGATCTGTCGAGCTGTTAAAAAACCGAACGGCGGTATTAATCTGCACCAACGCCTGTCCACACGAATAGCAAAACATCTTATCTACGGCACTCGTGGTGGTGCCATTTCATCTGAGTTGATCTCTAAAAATACCTTTACTATCGAGACGCCGGAATCGTCGCCCAAAGAGTGGAAGAATTGGCGGTGTATGGAGAATGAGAAGCCCGACGCTTCAGCTGCCGCCCAATTGAGGCTTGTTGAACTGCCGAAGTCAAAGTGTGACCCGTATGTATTTCCTTTAATCTTAACCGCTATTGGCTTGACTTCCCCGATAGTCACCCGGGCCTCGAGTATTTCAAGGTTAGTAATACATAATTTTTTCCTTCAGTTTTCTTGACTCTTCCCACCATAAATCGGCCATGATATACCCATGTCACTTCCTGATTGATGAGAACCTCAACAGCAAGACGAAAATCCTCTCTGCCTGAGCCAGCTTCGCTTCCAAGGATCTCAAAGTTGGCAGTCTTCTTTGGTGGCTGCGGGGATGGTGAGTTAGCCCCCTTATGCTTTGCTCGTGACTAATCTCCTTCTGCTAGCCCGACATGTCTTTGGAACACTGATTATTCTACATAAATCATTCCTGCAGCTCGGGACAAGAAGCATTTTCGAGTACATCTAACTCTTCTTGACATCCATCCAACAACTCTGGCTCGGGATCTGGTTCTTTTCATGCTCATGGATGATTTGATCGCCAATTGTAATTCTGAAGACGAGGCCGAAATCAGAGCCACCATATTCTACACTTATTTGGGTGTCCTCATGCCCTCGTAGGTCACCACAGGTTAGTATTATTTCTCTATCCTGGCATTTGTCAACTCATTCGTTGCTCCAGGTTTCAAGAGGTTGTCAAGAGACTAATCAACGGGTTCCAAGCAACTCCCCTCAGAGTTCCTGCTTGCATACACGTTGACCCCAGAGCAACACCAAAAATTGTACGCTCCTTGACGTACTGGCGAGACGGACTGTCCCGTAAGACCGTCGACGGCGTGCTGGCCCGCCACGTCTTTAGCTCGCGCGCACAAAAATTTGAGCCGAACCCGGATCTCCCTCCCGAGGTCGTGGATAAATTCTACGCTCGAGATCTACGCGAACTGAAACGTGAGCGGGCGATCCATATCGGGGATGTAATGACGGATGACGAGGTCATCCAATTGGTTGGAAGAACCTTCGCGCAGCCGTGCCCCGGGCCAAGCGATCCTCTAAGTCGAGATGTGTGACTTGGGAAGGCTCGGGAATGTGTGTATAGGGCTATGTGCAAAGGCCTTGAAGCAGGGACTGGATGGGTATTACTCGATGCGCACAGGGAGGAGAAGTGGTATAACAAAATGTCTGTGTTCATCCCTCTGACAACCTTGTAGAAGCGAGACAGTGGTTTGGAGAGGATTTGGAAAACGATCAAGGACAATTCTTCGACGAACAGCGGTGATGCAGATCTCATTAAAAAGGTTCCGCTGACTGAATGATGATGACGATGATGATTGTTATTGACCTTGTTTATAGGTCAAGACGGACATCAGCTTATCTTGGAAGTCCAGTCCATCGCTTTTCGTACGTGTACTGGCTAGGTGCAATCCTCTCTTTTCTGACATGCCTGTCAGGACCGCGATATCGTCGAGGAAGGCACAGACTATCCCAAGATGGATGGAAATCCCTTCGAACCAATTCGCCATCTCGAGAAGATCAATGCCAACATGGACAGCTCGAGACCTATCGACTTCTCGAAGGCTTTTACTCGTATGTGGCTGAGCAATGTTCCGTAAGCGTTGTCTAGCCCTGATCTTGGCTCGACACTAACCGGTTTCTATCACCAGAGACTACACCCACGGCCCGATAAACATGGCGCTCTACGTTGTGCCAAACGTTGAAATCTCCCCACAGGCGACGGTCGCGGCCAATTGCTTGCTCAACACTGAACTATGGCCTGATGATGATAGGTATTATCACACGTAAGCTCAGCGCATATATTATCTCAGTCTAAGCTTCACCTTACAAAAATATCTGGCAGCTATACATTTCTCGCTATCAAGGAGCTCCCAAAATTCCTTGGATGCCGTGTCATCTCGATATCGCCTTACACGACAGTAGTCCTTGTTTCTAGCACATTCCCAATACCACTTAAAGAGCTCGCCTCCCGAAATGAACTCACCATCTGGCTTACTCGCATCCGCCTCTGTACTATCCGACCCTGGTATTCAAGGCCAACACCATGCCTCGTTCACTACCCCGACAACCTCGTGGTGTTTGTCGACCTCCTGATACACCTCGACAAAGTAGGTTTCCTGGCTCACTGGTTGACAGAATTCCTTGGACGTGTCCTGTTGAATGACCTGGTGACCGACATCATACCGTCCTTGGGGGTTTTCCCCATTCTCCTAGAGGAACGAACGCAGCGAGTACCTATGCATCGAATAAACTTGGATCCTTGGAACTTGGAATTGAAGACTGTCCTAGCAGGTGGATACAAGGTGTTGCCGTTGATATGCTGTGTATGTATCCAGCCCTATAATTTGCGAATTCAGCATAATACACTAAGATACACTAGTAACTGTAGGGCTAGCCACTTGAGGACTATGGCTGAGGCTCCAAGCCAATAGTCATGCTAGTCACCAATACTAAGTCCAGGAGGGACTTTGTGAAATGGCATGACCTAAAGATAAAAATCCTAAGTCAAGTTGGACTTAGAAATGGTACCTCAAATGGGGCCAATTTTATATGCCACTAAGATGGGTATACTCTGAGGTAGCTAGAGGTAGCAGACTCTGGGTAGCTGTGGAGTATTGAGTAGAGACAGCATCTCATCCAGGAGTAGTAACAAAACAGAACCTAATAATCTATGACTAGCACTCTGAGTTTGACTTGAAATGTCTGTCAGCATTCTCAGGTCACTTAAGGGACTAGAAGAGTAGAGCAGATTGGACCAGTCTAGCCAGATCCAATTGGACCAGGAACCCAGAGTAGCCCAGGGTAACAATTATTGCTCTGGGTAATATAAAGGAGCCAGATACCACCAGACGCTAGGAGCCTAAAATAAAGCTGTGTGGAGGTTAGCTGGATCTAGGGCAGTACTAGGCAGGTCTAGAGACATTGCTAAGTCAAGATAATGGCCTGATTTTGAGGTTAGCCAAGAGAAATCATTATTCAGCTCACTTATTTATAGTTTCTGTATCTAGTTGTGTATGTATAAAAGTAAGAGGAGGGGGAAATTGCAGGACAAGCAACCCACCCCCATGTTCAGGCCTTCTAGCTCACTGTAGTTAGTCCCTGGAACAACAGTTTTTGAGTTCTGCTTTGACTTAGTGATTTATTTAAGTTAATTTGTAACTTAAGGACCAACTACAGTGAGCTAGAAGGCCTGACCATGGGGAGTGGGTTGCTTGTCCTGCAATTTCCCTCTCCTCTTACTTTGTCACTTAGAAAGGATATGTCACAATTTTAACACTTTACTCCTAAAATTGCTATCTGCCAATGCTTAGTAAGTCAATGCTTACCTAAGCCTGACTATAGCATGGCCTTGACCATGGGGAAACTATGGATGACAGCACTATGATGACACAATAAGCTGCATCTTACTCAGCACCACATAATAACTGGTTAGCAACAGCACAATAGCAGGCATTGCTTCATGCCCTTTTTATAGTAACCACTGTGGCATACAATATCCTCACTGTAGCAATGGCATAGTAGAATGACAATGATGCTCAACCAGATGGACATGGTTATTGTCATTAAAACAATGAGATAGGACTGTGGAGACAGGACAATAGTCACCTGTAGGGTGAAGGGTTTTCAGAAAAGTTCTAAGAAAGTGATGCACATTTGTAGCACCTAATAGAGTATGCTGTTAGCTATAACATAGACTACAGAATACCAATCAGTGACATAAATGAAGTAATATAAGTAGATACTCACCCTCACACAGTGTAGCGATAAGCAGAAACATGGTGAGGGTGCTTGACAGACCATATTCAATATATATAGTCCATCCTGACATAAAGGAGTATCAAGCTTGGCTGGTGGGATACAATGGAGCTCCTGCTTGCTAATTCAACACTCCCCCTCAAGCAGAGCAAAGTCCAAGCTCAGTAGCAAAGTGCTTCACCTTGGCTGAAGATAAAGGCTTGGTGAGAGCATCAGCAACCATGTCCTCAGTGGGACAGTAAACAAGATGAAGAGAGCCTTCACTGATGACCCAGTGAATGAAGTGGAAGCAAATGTCAATATGCTTGGTTCAGGCATGATACTGATGATCTTTTGAGAGTGCAATAGCAGACTGATTGTCTGAGAATAAAGTTGTAGCCTCAGTAATTGGTGAGAAAACCTGAGAGAGCAGACTGCAAAGCCAGAGCACCTCCTTTGATGCATGAGTTGCAGCCACATATTTAGACTCAGTGGTTGAAAGTGAGATGATCTCCTGCTTTTTAGATGACCATGAAACAGCTCCACCATTCAGCATGAAAGCATACCCAGTAATGGCATGCCTATCCTCTGCCATGCTCTCATCAGCATCCACATAACCATGCAAAACCTTTCTGTTTCCCCCAAACATCAGCCAGTAATCCCTCATGCCCTTCAGGTAGCAAAAGATGTGCTTTACAGCCTTCTAATGAGCCTCTGCAGCAGCCATTGAATATTTTGAGACTGTTGTTGTGGCAAATGTGATATCAGGGCATGTCCCAAGCATAACCCAGATCAAGGAGCCAACAGACTCCCTGTAAGAGACATCTCTCATAGCTGCAATTTCTCGAGTGGAGGCTGGTGCAGGAAAGAAAGACAAATGGAGATTAATATCCATTGGTGTAGAGACTGGTTTGAGGTCTTCAAAGCCATAGTGACAAACAATGGCATTGATGTATGAGTGTTGGAAAAGAGAAATGGAGTGTGACTTATGGTCATGCATGATCTCAATGCCGAGAATCCAGTGCAGCTCCCTCAAATCTGTGACTTCCATGTATTTTGCCATACCTTCCTTTATCTCTCACACTAGATGCAATGATGATGCTGTGATGATGCAGTCATCAACATGGACAGCAATAATAGTCAAGTTTCAGCCCTTCTGCTTGTAAAACATGGCTTGATCAACATCACACTGCTTGAATCTCAGCTGCACCACCAAAATCTCAATGAGACATTGATACCAGCGATGACCACTCTGCTTCAAACCATATAGAGTCTTTATGAGATGGCAGACTTGACCAGGATGGGAGCCAGGCTCAGGATAGTCAGGAGGTTGATGCATGTAAATGATTTCTTCATTGGTGAGCTTTCCATTCAAGTATGCACCCTTGATATCGACTTGATGGAGCTCTAGGTCGAGTGCCACAGCCATAGCAAAGATTGAATGGATAGATGCAAGCCTTGCAACAGGAGCATAAGTGTTGAAGTAGTTGATGCCAGATACTTGTGAGAACCCTTGTGATACCAAGTGAGCCTTGAACTTGACTATGCCTCCCTCAGCATTCTTCTTGATTTGAAAGACCCACTTCGAGCTCACAACATTTGCTCCAACTGGTTTTTCAACAATTTTCCAAGTCCCTGCAGTCTTCAACATTGCAAGCTCTTCCTGTATTGCATCTTTCCACAAAGGCCAATCAGGCTGATGCTTTGCTTCAGCTAGACTGCATAGCTCTAAGGCTTCTATATCGGCTGTTGAAATGGCCATGGCATACTCCTCAAGAAAGTCAGCATCCTCGAGTATCATCAACCAATCTGCCTCTCCTTCTTCCTCAAACTTGAGAGGTTCATTGTTTTTATTGGTGTTGGGATAGCAATCCCGAGCGAGTACGAGAATGTACTCGAAGATACGATGCCAGTCAGCAGCAGCTGACTTGGATCGTGATCCGGACTTATT